TTTGGAAATCAACTCCTTTTAAACATCTACTTTGGTTCAAAGTAATTCTCATGTGTGTCCTAAAAAAATATCGTGCACATATATTAGTGGATTTGATATATGTATATCAAATTTAAAATTTTGACCCTTTATTTCAAAATAACGCACATAAGCGTATTTATGGATGTCTCGAAACAATGCACAAGAACGTGTTATTTTGTAACTATATGGTAATCAAAAGTATTTTTAGCATTCTAATTTCTGTTAAATTAGGGTGAAAATATTGTTGCAATTCCCGGTACCAGAAAAGTAAAATACTTGGAAGGAAATATTCATTCGGAAAATATTAAGTTAACTGTCGAAGAGTTATCTGAAATTCGAAAAATTATTGATTCAATTGAGGTTGCCGGAACTCGGTATCATGAATCCGCATTAAAGGTAATATATATTATTTTGAAAAATATTCTTGGATCTTTCACTTCACACAATAGTCTGGAAACTTCAATTTCATAAAAATAACTCATCTATAAATGGCGATATTTATTCTCGTTAACAATTTCAAATTCTCCTAAGATAAACTCTATCCTGTGAAGTGAAATCCAAAATTTGTGGTTTTCTTTCATTTTGCAATACTAATTTATTATTAACATATATGCATGCGTATTTTTTTAGTATGTGAATATATAAGTATGTACATCATATATCGGTCAACGTATATTAGGAATATCTGTTAAGACAATTTTGTTCTTAACTTTTGTGAAATAAATTCATTAAACTTCTTTGATATTTCGGTTTAGCACAAAGTGATTTACAGATTGGTTATATTATGAAGGTTTAAACTGGTATTGCTACTGTATATCAAATATTTAGCTTTTAATATATACGTATTGAATTGCTAAATTATATTTAAATATCTAAATAAAACATATTTAAATCTATAGTGTATAAAATGTTTTTATTTTAAATAACATATTAATTACTGCTAACACTGTTTAAGAATAGAGTACAGTTGATCCTTATTAATACATGTTAATATTGACTTAAGCCACAAATCAAAGTTTTATAAAATTTTATGTATTAAAATTTCCTTATATATATCAACTTTAATATAAACTCTTATTAATATCATGATTAACGTGAATATAAATATAATCTAAATAGGCTGAAATCAACTGTATACTATTTTAAAATTATATATAAACTTGATATATTTTAAATTACAAGTTTTTTTATTAAGTTAATTGTAAAGCAGATTTTTCTGATTTTAATAATAATAATTTTTTTTTAATTTGACAGTGATTGTTAGTTGTTACTTAATTCTAGTAAGTAAAAAAGAACTTCATTATATATTTACAAAAATATTTTTATTATCTAATTAAATTATATTCTTTTAATACAAATTACTGATGAAAGTATAACTCTTTTTAACAATCTTCTGATTAACAACAACAATAAATCAAATTACAGAAAAACACTATAGCAAAACAAAAAAATAATAATTTTGATTTTATATAAAATAAGTTGTTGTTAACAAAGTTAAAAAATATATAAAATATTAAGAAACAGATATATTTATAGTAGTTTGAAGAAAGATAAAGTTTTACTTTTTAATGGATTTCTTCTTTTGGTATCTAGATTAGAAAATTTTTCTAGAAACAATTATAAAAAAACTCAAATCAAAACTGTTAAAAACTTGAAAAAATTATTATATAATTGTAAAACATATATAAAAAATTATATATAAAATTTTATTACCTTTTATTTTTTGGAAAAAAATTTTATAAAAATAAGTATTTTAGTTTATTTTTTCTAAAAGATCAATATATAAAATTACTAAAACAGTTAATAGTATTTTATTTTTTTAAATAAAATTGTTAATAATAAAAATCAGAAACAATATAACAATATAAATACAAATTATATACATATTTTAGATTATTAAAGATCTATAAAATACTATTTTTAGACTAATTAGTATCTTATTTCAATTTTTTATATTTAAGTTAAAAATTTTTTATATAGTTTTTGTTAAATAAGTTAATAAATAAAAAAAGTAATAGAATTATTTTTATTTAGTATAGTTTATAATTTTTTAAAACTTAACATAGATTTATAATTGTAACTATTTAATAGTTATAATATATAAGTTTTATTTTTTTATTTTTTTTTATTTCTTATTTTGTATTTTTTATTACTTATTTTTATTCTTTGTATTTTTTTTATAAAAGTTTTTTTTTTATTTCTTTTGCTTTTTTATAAAAAGATATTATTAGATTAATAATATTATATTGTAGAATAATAATTAAATATACTTCTAGATACTTTTTTTCTTTAAAAAATTAGATAACTAATATAAACAAATTACTTGTAAATGTTTATAAAAACAATTACAGAATGTTAGCTTAGTATATTAAGTTTAAAAATATTTTAATATAAGAATATAATATTTTAGTAAAAAATAATAACAAGACTACTAAAGTTAAAAAAAAAAATACAGCTTGCTAACTTTACATAGTTATTTTTAATAATATTTATACTATTTTGTTATATATTTTATATATAAGAACTTTTATAACAAAAAAATTAAAAAGAAAAAAATTTTTTCTAAACTTAATTTCTTAAAGAATTAGAATAAGTTTTTAATTTTTATAAAATTACAAATTTTAAAATTTTGTTTTATTGTATTTTTTTAATATAAAGATTCTTATATTATAATACTAAGTTACATTTATAGTTAGAGTTTTTAATACTTTAAATAATTATTATTAAACCATTCTACTTAATAAGAAGATTTAGATTTTATTACTTGTAGTGGAAATAACATAATTATGTTATTTCCACTTAGTCTAGATTATTTCCACTCAGGTATGATGACAGAAATGCGTTACCATCATCAGTGTTGTGATGACAGAAATGCGTTACCATCATCAAAGATGTATTAGTATTCACTCCATCATTCGAGTGACGAATGATTTACGCTTGCATCATCATTTGAGTGACAATTGGTTTACGAGTTCGTCGTCACACTTGGGTACCCATGACCCACAAAAATGTGATGACAGATTTGTGTTTGTGTCATCATCCCGCATGTGTCATGATGACAGAAATGCGACACCATCATTAGTGTTTTTCTGCGTTTTTTATTATAACTTAAATTCGATAACATTATTTGTATACTGGTTTGGTAATCGTGATCGATTTCTGCCATTAGACTACATGGGTAAAAAATATATCTGACAATGCATCCAGTCATATATCATCATTTGTAGGCCC